GCATGTTGGGAAACTGTGGGTGTAATTGGTAACTTCACCAGAAAACATTTTTTTAAGCAAAAGGTATCTGAATGGGTAGAAAGGAAGGATTCCACTAGTCTACAGGAATGTGTCAGTCTAAGTATTGTAAAACTGAAGTTTCTGGCTTGAATTGCACAAACTGGCTACATAGTTTTAGCATGTCAGATATCTCCCTATATCTGGTTTAGTCCCATTCTCAGAAAGATTTTATAAAGCTAAATCAGCAATTGTAAAAGCTACTTGAAACTTCAGTGTAAAGGTACTATGCAGATAGGTATTCCTGGAACTTATTAAAACGACTTGTGGGAAACAGACATTCCGCCCCACACACACTATTTCCTCTAGCTCTTCCCTGAAAACCCCACAGCTTTTCCCCTTTTCCTGCTTCCTTCTCTCCTTCCCAGCCACTGGCCAGCCTACCTATATCTGCTCCCCTGTCTCCTTTTCCCCTTCTTCCTTCCCCCTGGCAACCTTTCCCCAGAAGAAGTATGGCCTAGTTGCGTGTGGCCAGTCAGGCTGAACCAAGTTGTATAGTGGGAAGCCTACACTTTCCTTTGTATCCCCCTGCCTATGCTACTTGCTCTTTCTATCTTCCTGGCAGCCCCCATATCCCCAACTTTCCCTGCTTCCTTCTTTGCTTACCACCTACCAGCCAACCTACTTCATGCATATACCACATCTTTCTCCCAAGTGGGGAATCAAAGCAGTTTACATTATTTTTCTCTCTTTCATTTTATCCTCACAGCAACCCTGTGAGATAGGTTAGGGGAAAGTGTGTAACTGGCCCAAGGTCATCCAGTGAGCTTCCACAGTAGAGTGGGGTTCTGAACTAGCTCCTGCCTGCCACCAGCCACCTGGCTGGTGAGGGAAGCCCTGCCCCCAACAGCCACAACCCAGCACAATGCCACCATGATGACTTCATGCAGAAGCAGGGGTCATTTCGAGCAGGAGCAGAGCTCCAGCAGTTAGAAGCACAGGCGGCAAGCCCCACCCCCAGCAGGAGCGTGAAGCACCATGTGTAGCGTTCTTCGATGACTACCATGCGCGCGCGAAGAACTTGCTGAGAACGGAGGGGGTGGAAGAAGCAGGTGTGCACACCCTCATTTCTCCCCCAGGATTTCCCTCTAAGGTAGAAGGTGACTGTTGGACAGCCACGTGTGCTTGTTTCTCATTCGTTCTGCTGTGTGTGAGCTGGAGACAGAATCAGGGCTGGGCTAGGAGAATACACCCCACCTCTCCTTTCCTCCCCCCCCCCCCCTCCAGTGCTCCAGCCCATGTGGGGCAGGGCGGTTCCTTTCAGGCAGGCACTGGCTGGGCAGTGATGGCAGATGATGGGGATAGGAAGCTAAGGACTGAACGAGTAGGTGGTAGCAGCAGCCCGGAGGAGACGGAGGCTGCCAGTGCAGCCGGTGGCTGGCTCAGGGGAGGTGGCATGCTGTTGAATGTGACTCTGTTGGTGCTCATGGTATTGGTGGCCTATCAGCTCTATAAGCACTAGAGATTTTTGAGGTGACGCCTGAGCAATGGGTGTTGCCTTCTGACACACTTTCGGTGATGTCAGGGGGTGTGGCATATGCAAATATATTATGCTAATGAGTTATGCTAATGAGCGCCTGCACCTCTTTTTCTACGAAATGACCCCTGTGCAGAAGTGACATCATCACACTGGATTTTTGCCTAGAATACCAGGGAGCTTGCTCCCACCCCCTGCCAGTGAGGATGTAAGACCTAATGCAACCCTAATTTAAACCTTGGTTTCCTGGATCATAATCTCAAACTCTAACTACTATACCACACTGGCTTTCAGGTCTGGTTGAGTCATGCAAGTCATGTGGTAGCAAGTTGCCAGAGTTTGCTGCTGGACCTGGCCCCAATGAGTTCTCCCTCAAAGGCCAAAATGACAGTGAAAAGTACCTGCCCCCTCACCAAACCAGGGCTTTTCTCAGGTTTGTAGAAAGATCTGTAATGTCTGCCCATGGCTCCATGCTCCAGATTTAAGTATTCACAAATGGAGCCATGTTGAGAATTAGATATATTGATAGTAAAAGTCTCTTTGCATCTGGTTGCCCTGGGATCTAAGGTTCATGATTATCTTAGAAATGAAAGTCAGAAATAAACTCAAGCATTAATGATATTGTTCTTCATCTTGATATATACAGGGTATCACTTAGTGAATGAAACACATTTAGATTCCAGAACTATGATAGGATGTTTACATGTTAAGCTAACTAAAAGGTATTTGCTGTTAGCTGGAAAATGGAAGGGAACATAGCAAGCTGGGTTATTTTGAATTTTTAAAAAATTAACTATTTTTTAGATTGTAGACACAGAACAAATCCAAAATTTGAGACTGGTTTTTTGTGTGTGTGTATGTTTAGACAAAATAGTAATTTTTAATGCTAATTGAGGTTTGGGCCTGTTTTATTTTAACTGCTGTCTAAAACTCTCTCTGTTGTCCCAGAGATACGGATATAAAATCATGGGTTCTACTTCAGCTGTGTTTAAAAGGAGAAAGTATTATTATCATCCCAATAAACAGAGTATCTTCTGCAGATCTTGATTAAGTTAGCAACTTGTATTTGTTTTTTCTCACCCTGATTTTCTTTAGAGGTTTCCCTTCTAGCAACCAAGTGTGCTAGGGATCAGTAAATTCACTCAGTTGCCTGTCTGTGGTTCCTCCCCTTTTATTGTTTTCGAACAGCTATTAGGAAAGTGGATTCTAGCAGTACGTGTAAGTTTATCTTTTACTATCTTTTGTTTGATAGTGTTAAGTGTCCCTCTTTCCTTAGGGATATAGCAGTGCTCGGGGCTCAGTTTGTGTTAAACACCAGAAAGGACTGTGAAGTTAAAATGGCCAGGGTGCAAGCCAAGCTGAGAGGCCCATGTGGTCAGCGTTGCAGGTGACCACAATGGTATCAGTGGCACCAACACTAGATATCACCTTTCCTTGGCTTCTCCTGCCACCTGGTAGCAGTGAGGGATGGTGAGCTGACACTGATCTTCGCCGCTGCTGACAGGTTTGAGCCTAAGGGACTGCCATAGCTGCTGGAGCTTATCTCTGCTTGCTCCTGGCCTCCACTGACCCTCTGGGCAGTGGCCCACTGGGAATTTTCCCTGTAAGTTAAATAGCCAATCCGGCCTGGTAAAAGCAAAGGAATCACGAAAATCCTTGCCTTTGACCTGAACATCAGCGGCAGCCAGCCAGAAGCAAGAACAGGGCTTCCATTTCTGCTGGTGTATATAAGATATTTCTAGTGGAAGCTGCTAGATCAATCCACTCTTCTGTTTCTCCTTTCTTTTGTTTGTTTGTAGTAAATAACTGGACCTTTAAGAAACAGACAGCAATGTTGTACTACAGAACTATTTGTATTACTGTTCTTCCAAGAAATGGAAAGGGGGAAAAAACACCTTGTTTCCCCTTGAGACCTTTTCCTGCTGCATCATAGTTCTGGAGGAGAAGGCACAACTTCATAGCCTTTCTCAGATACGATATAAATTGAAAATAATAATAAATAAATAACACTTAAAGTTGTAGCAGGTGCTTGCTTAACATGCTATCCATTCCAAACACTCCGATTGTAAGTTGTTTTCCTGACACAAAATATGTCATGAATCTGAGTTCAACAGCTAAGAACTGCAGGAAGTTTATTTTTGATCAGCTCGGCCCTTGCTCGAACAAACACATGGAATTATCTAGGCAGGAATGACCAGCAGTCCACAAGCAAAGGGAAACGTGGGCTTTTCCAGGCTGGTTCCATGACGTGGGCATGTGTTTCCCCTTCCCTGTGATGTTAGGAAAGCTCCAAAGTGGTGACAGCCGTACCGATGACATTTTGTCCATCTTAATGTAAATCAAGTTGTGGCAGGGGCCACCGGGAGGCGGGTTGGAAATAGAAGGGATGTTGTGCAGTTCACTGTCGATGGCCTTTGCCAGGTTCAGTCATTTCCTGTCAATCTGCCAAAAATCACAAGCGATAAATGGACATAACTGAAGTGTGGGAAACTGCACAGCCTAACAATCTACAGTTAGGGGATGGAAGAATAATCACAACTAACAAAAACACTGTGATGCCAGACCCACTGCTCAGTCCTTAGTTTATAGATTCTGTTTAGGACTTCTCTGAAATGTCCAGTATGGATTTTTGAAATGGATGCTTCACCCTTAGATGTTTATTGATATGGAAAAGCAGGTTGTGGCCAGTGTTCCCTCTAAGCTGAGTTAGTGTGAGCTAGCTCACAGTTTTTTAGCCTCCAGCTCACACATTTTTGTCTTAACTCAGGAAGGATGGCTCCAGAGCCAACTAAGTTATGCAGCAGCCAAGTCGCTCACTCACAACTTTAGTGCCAGTAGCTCACAAAGTATAATTATTGCTCACAAGACTCCACATCTTAGAGGGAACATTGGTTGTGGCTATTGTGGAAGGACTGCAGTTAATAGCTGCCATTCTCAGGTGCCCACACTGGTTTTGGTTCTTTCCTTCTGTTATCAACTCTCCCACTGTGGAAATATCCACATTTGCTACCATATCTAACAGAGCCATGGCCATTTCCAGGCATTAATGTCAGGGCCTTGCAGCTTGATTTGTGATGCTTGCAACTGCTTGGATAGTTTATGTGCAATAGATCAGTTATTCTATAGACTTCTTCTTGCTTGTCACTTTTGTCTTCAGAGCCAACCTAAATATTTTTTGTATGCAACTAAAATAGAGAGATGGAATCTGGGAGGTGCAATACAACAAAGCCAAAGAGTGACTTTTCTTATGACCCCGCCCACAAATTAGCATGTTGATTCCTTCGGTATGAGTCTGTTCTTTGGCATATAGGCAAGCCCTGCTCTGCTACTCTCAGGCGTTTTATAATCAGCACCCCAGAAAGAAATTGGCAAAA